TCAATTATTCAATATAGTGTACAAAAATTTCTAACGGATTACTGATAATTATGTGCGTATTAGTCTAACCTCAACCAAATTTACACACATTCTATGCATACAGAAATGGAATATTTTTCTTAATATATGGTGTTGTAAGAATGTAATAAGTGATATTATATATCGCATGAAAATAATATTATATACGGCAACGTCACTTCGTTAAACATTACATTTTCTCACAATGGAACCCTAAATCTATATTACATTTTAATATATGTTTCACATGTAACTATTGTACTTAACAAATATTACAAAATTCAAATGACCAAAGTTCAGTATGATGAAATAATTACTCACTTGTATATAATAATAAACTAACCTGTATATGTATACTTTTCGTTAATAATAACGGAAAGAAGTGCCTATTTACTTGCATTATGTGATCACCTATTGCACAAAACAGTATGATTAGCAATAGATAGATAAAATCATATTTTACAAGTCATTGCGTGAATTCGACCTTAGATTCGAATAAGTAGATTTGAGTGTGATCTAACTTAAACATAATTCAATCTATTTTTGAAAATATCGAAGATAATTCTAATAACGAAACATGAAACCCCTAACTGATTTGCCATTAATATCAAAATTATCATCAAGAGTGATAAGAATTTTAGGATGTAACAGAGGGTCTATGACGTTACAAGGTACAAATACATATCTTGTTGGTACTGGTGCCAGGTAATAAATGTTAAATTTATCAGTTAAAATTAATGATGTGTAACAAAAATTAATATTTACTTTTTTTATAGACGTATACTAATCGATGCAGGTGAAGAAAAAACTGCCAATGAATATGTAAAACTGTTGCAAGAAGTCTTAAAAAAAGAAAATGCAACTATTGAACATCTACTAATTACGCATTATCACCATGACCATTTAGGAGGAGTGAATTATGTGTTGAACATGTTGAAAGCGCTTGATGTCGGAGGATCTTCCAGCACTGTATGGAAATTACCAAGAGCTTTAGAAGATACAGGAACCACTGATCTTGAAGCAAAAGTTCAGTGGCAAGCTTTGAAAGATAAACAAATAGTGGAAGTAGAGGGTGCAAAAATTTGTGTTGAGTACACTCCAGGACATACAACCGATCATGTTTGCTTTATGCTTGAAAATGAAGAAATATTATTTAGTGGAGATTGTGTTCTTGGAGAAGGTACTACTATATTTGAAGATTTATATACCTATCTAACTTCCCTAAAAAAAATGTTGGCAATGAAGCCAAAAATGATTTATCCAGGTCATGGACCTGTGATAAAAGATCCAGAAACTGTAATTAACCATTACATTAACCACAGATTAAAAAGGGAGAATGAAATTTTAGATGTCCTCCAACAAAATACGAAAGATATTACATTGTCTGAAACGGATATTGTAAAACATTTGTACACGGTAATAATAATTATTTGATTTATGATATACATTTAAACAACGTGTAAAATAAGGTTTATATTTTTAGAATATTTCTCAAGATTTATTGCAAGTAGCAGCCTATGGTGTATGGCGTCATCTTGAAAAATTATTAAAAGAAGGTAGAGTGAAAGGCGAGAAAGGAAAATGGCAAAGTATATAACATAAAATGATTTTAGCAAGTTATTTAATTTAAAATCTTAAATTGTTAAATTAATCCGTATTATTTGTAAATATTGTACAAAATGGATAAAATATAATATACTATTGTTTCATAGTTTATTTGTAGTCTAATACTAAAATTCATATCCATGTCAGTTGAGAAAATCATTGAGAAAGCGATGCTGTGAAACATTTATTCGACTTACAGGAACAAAATAATAATACATTATTCATGAATTTTGTTTTTCAATGTTTAGGCTGACAATGCTAAAAATGTGCGTACAGTGTACAGTAATTGCTACGAAAAATTTCACGAAATATATGCCACATAATACAATGATCTGCTTATTTGATTAATGCAGCATTCATAGTCTTTTCGTTTACTTTACGAGCTCGTTAAAACACGTGACACGTGAAGATGCTCGATATAAAATATATATACTTTCCTACAAAGACATATCACGACATTAAACGTTTCAATATCTTCATTATAAAATCTGTTCTTTACTATATAATATTGGCGAGTATTCATACACGCGGTATATAGCACCCCTTACTTTGAACAAAGGGCTTTAAAAACCCTGACGTAACATGATGTTACAATACATATCTATATATGTATATCTATATATAGATTTCGTTTATATCTTTAATAAGCTCACTTCATCTGATCATCTCTGTTTCTCTCTTTGGGTAAACGTAAAAAATATATATATATATATATTTATGCACTTTATATATATGTATATGTATATATATATGTATATATATATATTTCTATATTAATTATTCTTCGTATCGACATATAATATAATCTCTCTGTCGTTTTGTCTAGCAATTATCGATAACATCAGCAACGCAATCACATAATATTCTATTAATTGATATTAATTATCAACAAAAAATTGTTAAACAACATACGAAATATATTATACTTAAAAACATATATATAATAGAAACGACATCAAACAACAAGATGATTCATTTGTTAGAATGAAATCAAGTCAAAGAAAAGAAGATGCATTAATGTATTAATGAATTCTGTCGAATAGAATTCTATTTTAAGGTACTGT